AAGTCCTTTACTTTTTATGACAAAATATCCTATTTTATAAATTTGAGGAAAAAATCTAACCAAACAAATTAATATAGTTTATCCACTCCTAAATGGAATTAATATTTATGATCATGTAGGTTATTTACATAAGTTCAATATGAATTTGTCCTTTTTCTTACCAGAATATAATTGGATATTGACTCTGCCAAAAATTCCATTTAATTAAGTATGTGTTAAAAAAAATTCTCCAGTGACACTTGTTCAAGCATGGTAAGGAAGACTTTGTTCAAGACCATCCTGATAGGTGTAGGGACCAGGACAACAGGGTCTTGCAGTGGGGGAGAGAGACTGGGCTCAACTCCCAATACAGCATGGGCAGGTGGAAATTGATAGCCAAGGAGCAGGGTGGGGTCAGTGCATGGAAATTACTAAGAGGAAACAGCAGGGGTGAGGGGGATTCTGGCTAAACCCACCTAACAGGGGTCTTGTTGAATGAAGACAGGCTGGGGTGGGGGGTCAGACATCACCTGGAGGACAGTGGAGGATGAGGAATCTGATCAGATGCTGAGGGTGGGGAGTTCTTGCTAAATCAACTTAGCAGGGCTCTATGCTAAAACCAGATTTTACAAGGAAGTAAAGAGGTGGGTCTAGGAGAAAGTTCGGAAGTACGGCTAAAGTTTGACCAGGCAAGGGATTTTTGTCTTATTTTAAGCCACTATTAAGGAACAAAGACTACACTGTACATGTGGAAGTGACACCTATGAAGTCTCTGGAAAACTCTGGGATGGCTTCATGACTTACCAAATTCCAGCCTTGGAGGTAGCAAAGGACCACATTTCCTAGCAGGCCAGGGGTATGAACAAATATGGGAATCCTAGAAAATATTGCTGAAAATGACGTCACATAATTACTTCACTCATAACAGTAACTCATTCCCAGCACTAGTGGCTTTACGAAGCCTGCAGATAGAAGTCGGCGTAAAACCCTAACATCATTTGGCTCTAGTTTTGCCAGCCGTACATAAAGATACTATTTATGTATTCATCAACCCCTCTGTTATGTCAGTGGAAATAGATTTTGGTCAAATAAAGCAAAATATCCATTTAATAACACTGAATCGGAAAGTTATTAAGCAATATACGGGGTTGCCAAATCCGTGCCCCAATGGCAAGAACTTTCCCACAAGGAGGGAAAACTGTAGAAGCACAACCTGACACTTTCTCTGCTCTGCTGGCTTCATTGGTGACTAAGCACCACTGTGGGGTGGAGGTGTGGGCGATTTGCATCTGGAGATAAACCAAAAGTAACAGGTTATCTCGACTGCTTTGCACTCCAGAATAATAAGCCTTGACTGTTTCCCATAAGCATGGACTCCCTGACAAAAACAGTTTCATCCCTGAGTTTTGCTACGCTGATGAGTGAAGACATGTTGTGAAAATGATGAACACGTGAGAAAGCTGCTGATTTCTGCCGTGAACATGTTGACCTTGATCTTTTTCCTCCTTCAAATACTTGTGTTTTGTATTTGATGAGCCAGTCTTCCCAAAGTCTGACTCCCGTTCACTTTTCACAAGGAGTTGGTTTTTTTCTAGATGTCTCTGCCTCTGGGTCCCTGATGGCATCTGCTGTGTGCCGACAGCAACACCGAGCTGAGGATTTGGAAGTGATTTTGAACTCCTGCCTGGTGCAAGTTCACCATCTGGAGGTAGAGACCTGCCCGTAGAAAAGCGAATGCCTCCTTAAGCATCTGATGGGGCATTGACACCACCTCTGCTCTAACACCCCCTGCAAAACGGAGAGATCTCCAAAACAGTTATGCCCAAGAGGCCAGCCCGGGGGTCGTAGGGACTTGTTCTCTGAGGAGTGGTCATGTCCACCTTCAGATTCCTGATCCAGCCTCATCTTGGGCCCCAGGCTCCCTCCCCCAGTTCCAAGCCTCAGCTACTCCTAAATCTTTCCAGTTCCTGGAACATAACAGCCTCTCCCCACCCAGGGTTTTTGCAATTTCTCCTGTCTCACACACTTTTTTTTTTTTGGTCAGGCTAACGTCTTCCCTTCCTTCCCACATCAGCTTAAACATCATTTCCTAAAGAAGCCTTCCCTGATCACCCACACTCTGTTATGGAATCTCGTAACCCTCTAAATTGCCTTGGTGAACTTCTTACAAGTGTCATCAATGATTGTTAGTCTTTGTTTAAGGTCCCTCTTCTCTGCCAGACTGTGTGCTTCATGAGGACAGGGACTTCCTCTCCGCGGCCACCCACTTTCTCTCTCTACCACCCACCACCGTGCAAGGCAACTAGTACATGCCCAATAAGCATGGGTTGAATAGTACCAGTGTAGTGTGGGGGCCTAGGAATATTTGATCAGGGAAATTAAGTCAGGACACTTGTTTTGTGGTTTTACGGTACCTCCGGAGTCAGTTATTCACAGAGTGACAAAAACTATTGGATAAGATGAATAAGAACATCAGGTTCTAAACTCAAAACATAAGAGTGTAGAGTTATATATCACTTTGAGATCATTAATTTATTAAGCCATTCAGAGTACTTTACTAAGCATCTACTATGTGTCAAGCACTGAAGATAGATACAAAGGTGGATAAAACGTCCCAGTCCTTGTCTTTCTGAGTTTGTTAGTCTAGAGAGGAAGGCAGACATTAACAAAACATCCACACCCACACACAAAATATAAAATCGTAACAGTCAGGTATTAGGAAGAGAGGTACAAAATACTCTGGCAGCCCCAGTAGGGGTTTTCCGTCACCTGGGAGACTGCCTTTTCTGCAGAACAGGTTCCCCACGAGCTGCGATCTGAAGGCTGAATAGGATGAAACCAGTCAAAGAAGGGCAGTATCGGTGGTAAATCTCCATGATCTCCTACATTTCCTGGACATTTTAAGAGCAGAGGCAATGGCTGCCTTTGTTCTAGGCTATCCTTTCAATGATGTTTGTGTAGCAAACAGCCTTGGAAGATAGAAATAGTGTCTCCCTCCAGAGTAAAAGGCAGGTCTGTTTACTGTCCAGTAATAAAGCTAATGTCTCCTTCACCTTGGGCTAGCTAAGACGAGGCAGGTCTACTGCTGATTATAAAAGACTTTGGTTCCTTAAACTGGGTTCCTCTGCTGTGATGTAACCCATTGCATGCACAGCTTCTACCCGGGTTCCTGCAGCAGTACCCCTGTAGGAGTTGGGGGCTGAGGGGAACTGACTCATACATGAAGCTCATGCTGCTTGCTGTGCCATAAATAGAAAACGTCTTTTGTCTCTGACCTTGACGTCTCATGTCCTCTGCCAGGATCTATGAAACCGTGGCTGTCTATGTCATTAACTTGTATGCAGTATAAAATCTCAGACACTTCACTGCTATCATCAGGCACGTAGACAGCATGTGCAAAGGCCCTGTAGTGGGAGAGAGTAGAGCAAGGTTCCCAGAGAAGACATGCATGGGTGGAATGTAGGAAGCGAGGGCAATGTGGTATGAAATGAAGCCATGGCACCCTTGGCAAATCCTGCTGAGGCAGGTTCACGGGGTGTCTTGGCCATTTGTTGTGACAAGGCTGGCTTCATGCAGAACATGTGGAATTAATAAACTGAGCCCGAGGGAGCACAGGATAACACAGCTTAGAACAATCTGACCCTATGATATAATTTTTAACAAAGGAAGAGAATGAAAATATTAATAGGAGGTATTTTCTTAACATTCTGCACTCCGTATGAAAATGTTTGCATGCATATGGCACTTTGTAAAATCTCTATTAGAAAAGAGAGGAAGTCTTCCTCTCAGTTCCCCAAATGAACAAGTAAAAAGTTATCATTGACTGTCATTGCTGTCAATCATCTTGGATACAAAAAGTAACAGTCACCTTAAAAGGGAGAAGTGGTAATCATTTAGTATGCAGAGGATGACTCCGGACAAATCAGTTTTTGTCCACTCCTCTTACAGTGAAAAGGAGGGATTGTTTGAGCTTTATAGGAAGAGAAAGGGAGAGAGGGAAAGCAGACGAAGAAAGGAGAGAGACCCCACCAAGAGAGGGCTGCAAAACCAGCGTGGATAAACCTGATTATTACTTAACATAATTGTAAAAATAGAAAGACTTTGTTGAAAAGCCCTCTGACCCATTCTGGCTCTTGGAGTTCTGTACTTTTCATTCATTGCCTATTAATTAATTCGTGGCTTACAAAGAATGGAGTTGTCCCGGATCTTTGGCCAAAAAAAGTATCCACAAACAGGGGCCAAACCAGGCAGAGCCTCATTAAGAAGTTCTGTTCTTATCCTAGGAGCGCTAAGGAGTTGCTGAAAGATTTAGAGAGAGGCCACATCATTAGGCTTGGGTTCTGAGATTGTCTGTGCAGCTGCTCCTCTGGGAAAAATCTCGAATGGCCCGTATTTCTTCTGTAGCGCCTCACTGCAGTCCCGGGCTTGCAACAGATCCTTTCTCACTCATCTTTACTGGCATTTCAAAACAGAAGCCAAAAGCATCAGGGCTCAAAACATTCCCAGGAATTTCCCTCTCTTTTCCTGGCTTTCCTTTTAAATAATCAGCATATGAACTGTGAAAGGAGGAGGCATGACCCCAAAAGGGAGCACTCAGCTTGGGGCTCTTGGCTTTCCTTCCCGACCTAGACTGGGGAGAAAATAACAGCCTTGCTCAGGGCGCCGTGGCTTATGTAACTCAATTGTGCCCAGCTTCAACCTGGCCCAGGGCCTGGGCTGAGGGCTGGAGATGCAAAGGTAGAGGCTGCCAGAAAATCCAGGAAGCTGCTGGCAAGGAGAGCGGGTGGTGGGCATGCAGGAGGAACGGGAGGCCTTTGGAAATGCGGCTGAGTCACAGTCCCCGCAGACCCCCCCACCATCACCCTGGTGGCTCTTCTGCTGGCAGGTGCCTCATGACGACCTAGCCCCGAATTTTCAACACTCTGAGGTTTCCCAATCCTCCCCTGGTGGCCTGCAGTACTCCCCGCCTCCACTGCCAGCTCGTGGTTCCCTCATTGACACACAGCTTAGTTCCCATAAAAGGGATGGTTTGGGGCGGAGGGGAGTGGAGTGGGACAGGTATAAAAAGGAACCACAGGGCCTGGGGAAGAGGCCCTGTCTAGGTGGCAGGCGTGGGAAGAGGCTGCACCCACCCTACCGCTCTCCTGAAGCCAGCATGGGGCTGAGGGTGGCTGGAACAGGTCTCTGGGCTGGCCAAGGCCAGAGCAGGGTTGTGGGTTTTCCGACAGCCCAGAGAGCCACTGCACAGTGGGCCAGGCCACCCTACTGGCTGTGGGGGAGAAAGGCAGAGAGGGGAGGGGAGGGGAAGCAGAGCCAGGGGAAGGACTGAGGCTGCAACCAGGGGTGCTGAGGGAGGGAGGGAGGGAGCAGGAGGAAGGGCAGGATGCACTTGCAGGGGTCTGACCCCGGATTTCCCTCCAGGCTTTGCGGTCCTGGCCCTGGCGCTGCTCCAGTGCTGTAAGTAATCCCCCCTGCCCTTCCCCCCACCCTCCCACCCCCGACAGACACACACTTCAAAGTCTGGGAGTCATGTTGTGTATTTGGAGGAGGTTTGGCACCAGGGGAACACTTTTCCAGTTTCTTCTGTGATTCAAATGGCTCCGAAATAGTCGCATTTGTTAAACTGCAATGATGGGTATATGGATGTTTATTATACTGTCACTACTCTTCTGTATATTTGAAAATTTTCAAAATAACAAACTTTAAAAGGTTCAGGTTCAGTGAAGGCTTTGACTAACAGCCCGTGGGAACCACTAACACAAGCCCAGTAGCCGCACAGATGAGCGATGTCCACTGCTCTTCCTCCATAAGCAAGGGCCAGAAAAGACTTCATTTGCGGCAGAAGAAATTAGAATTAGAGGAGAGGAAGAACTTCCTGGTCCATTGTGACATTGTGCCCAGCTTGGGGCACGTGGGACTGCCCTTCTGGGCGGGTCACAAGTTAGGGGCACTCCCACCAGGAGGCAGAGAAGAGGAGGGCCAGAGTCCCCCACTGCAAGTCCCAAAAGGCTCCAGCCTGAAGGCCAGGGCCATCTTCTGATACTGGCTGTCTTGGGCTGGGTCCTTCCTCTCCCTCAAAGCCACTGCCTGCAGGAAGCCTGCTGTTCCTGCACAAGTCCCATTTCACCTTTATTCATCAGCTCCTACCCTTACCCCACACAATGCCCTGTTGTAGTCAGTGGTGGATACTGATGCCCTACATTTGATCTTTTCTAAGCATTTCCAGAATAGGCCTTATTTCCATCACACTGGGAACTCCGCAGAGGCAGGGGGACCTGAGCCAGCTTCTTTCATTTGAGAATTCCGACATTGCTCACAGCTCTGTCCCCCACTCCTCCCACCCCACCCCTACACCCCACTGGTGCTCAGCTCCGGGCTCAGCCAGAGGTCTCTTGCCAAATCCTGGCCCAGGCCCCAGCTCAGACTTCTCCTTCAGGCTCTGCATACAAACTGGTCTGCTACTACACCAGCTGGTCCCAGTACCGGGAAGGTGATGGGAGCTGCTTCCCAGATGCCATCGACCATTCCCTCTGCACCCACGTCATCTACAGCTTTGCCAACATAAGCAACAATCAGATCGACACCTGGGAGTGGAATGATGTGACTCTCTATGACACGTTGAACGCACTCAAGAACAGGTTGGGCCACAGGCTGGCTGGGGCGGGAGAAAGACTGAGGGTTAGCTGGGCTGGTCCCAGGGCAGGACAACCCTGCCCAGGAGGATGGGCGAGGGCCCACAGCTCCCATCTCTGGGTGGAGAGTTGGAGGACCTGGGCTTAAACGGGAGGAGGTGATGAAGGCAGGTGCTAGGGAGCGTTTGGGGTGATGATGGAGGCAGAGAAAAGGGAGCCCTCTCCTCCCCCTAAGGATGCCTCTCCAGGGAGGATGCCATACTCTTTGCCATGCTCTGGCCTCCCCACTGGGAGGGAAAAAAGTGGGCAGCATATCTCAGGGTAACTGCCACAAAGTCTGTGACCTCTCAGAATACTGGATCTCAGGGTTGGGAGGACCTCAGAGGTCTGATCCAGCCTCTCACCCAAAGCTAGAAACCTGCTATGGCCTCCCAGTCGTGGGGCCACCCAGGTCACAACAAACTCATTCAACCCCTGCCCTTCCCTCCTCCCTGTGCCCCACAGAAACCCCAACCTGAAGACCCTCCTGTCTGTTGGGGGATGGAACTTTGGCTCTCAAAGGTAGGACCCATTCCCCAGGGGAGGAGCCCAGGGGATAAGGCAACACGAGCGAGGAGGCTGGGATCTCCCCCTCCCTACCGTGTGGAGGTCGCAGGGGCTCCAGACCGGTTAAGCGCAGAGCCCTAAGTGGTGGTCGGGGGTCGGGGGCCAGCCTCACGTGTAGCCAAGAAACCAGAGCAGGAGAGGGATTTGTCACCCGGAAAGTCAACAGCAGATCTCCTGATTCCCTGCCCACGCTCTGTTTACTACCTCTCAGGCCTGAAAGCAAAGCACTTTCTAGAGCCACTGCCACAAGGGCTGGAAGGAGAGGGATGAAAACCAATGGGGAAATTGGGGGTATAGAGACCCGGGAAGAAATCCTTAAAGTAGGTAGGGTTGAAGCAGGGCTTAAAAAGGGGGTGGGTGTGGCCATGGCGGCCCCCACTTACTGAGTCTGGCACCTTTCCCACCATCATCCCACGTTGTCCTCGCAGCAGCACTGTGAGCCATTGTAATTATCCCCATTTTACAGACGAGAAAAATGAGACTCAGGTTATAACTTGATCAACGTGGCTGGCTAGTGAGTGATGGGGCTGAGCTTGGAAACCAGGACTGTCTGGCTCCAAGCACATGCTCCAAGATGCCTAGAGGTCGGTCCCGTCCCAGCCATGCCCTCTTAGAGCTGTGTGGTGTCAGGCTCCCAGTTCCCCAGGCCCTGGAAACCCCACCACCAGAGGGCCGAGGCACCTAGCATATCTGTGGGAATGACTTCAATCCTAGATTTTCCAAAATCTACGGGGGTGATTTCGGTCCTAGATTTTCCAAAATAGCCTCCAACACCCAGAGTCGCAGAACTTTCATCAAGTCGGTGCCACCATTCCTGCGGGCTCATGGCTTTGATGGGCTGGACTTAGCCTGGCTCTACCCTGGACGGAGAGACAAGCGGTATTTCACCGCCCTGATCAAGGTACTGGTCAGGGCGGGAAAGGGCGGGGAGATGGGCCGGCGTCAGAGGGGGTGGGTTAGAGGCCGTCTTCAGCTGATGTCCTCCTGAGGACAGGCAAAGAGGGACCTCAACCTTCTCTCTGCAGGGTCCTCAGACCCTGGGCCCTGACGATCCTGCATAGCGAGGAAGACACATTGTGACCACGGTGGGAGGTGGGGGTGGGTTCTAAGAGGCAGATGGTAGTAACCGGGCAGAGCACCCACTCCTCACTGCCCACTTAGTGGGCTGTCCACTGTCCACTCTTCAGTCCCAACCTGATGCCACCCGCTACCCAGCAGGCACTGTGTCCAGGGGCACTCAGCTCCAGCCAGGGCAGCCCAAGCCTCTCCAGTTACCCAGGGCACACAAACGTCCACAATGCCAATATGAATCACTTTAACTTTGTGATTTCACACACCAGCCAGAACAAAACACAGACAGAAAAGCAAGTGTCTTCCAACATCATCCGTGGGCCCGTTGGGATCACCCACTGTCCCAATGGTCCCCCAGGACAGGAGTACTTGAGTGCTGATGGGTGTGCATGGGGTCTGGGGATGAGATTGATCTAAACAGATTTTTAGGGAAAAGATGGTGGCCCTGAGTATGGGACCACTCACGGGCCATTTTATCCTCTCTACCAGGCCCCAGGCAGGTTGGGGACCACAGCAGACGGGGACGGCCAATGAGGTGCTCAGGGACCGCGGCCTCTCTCAACAAGTCTCTCTCTCATGCCGCCTGGGTCCCTGTCACTCACCTGCCTGTCTCCCATCCAGGAAATGAAGGCCGAATTTGCAAAGGAAGCTCAGCCAGGGAAAAAGCAGCTCCTGCTCAGCGCAGCAGTGTCCTCGGGGAAGGTCACCATTGACAGTGGCTACGACATCCCCCAGATATCGCAGTGAGCCTCCTGTCCCCAGCGGCCTCCCCAGAGGCCTCTGCAGACATTCCTCCTTCTCCACCTGCCCCAGTTCTCGGTGTAGACTCAGGAGACTGGGCTTCTAGTCCCAGTTCTTCCAAAACTTCAATGTGTGACCTTGAACAAGTCACTTCCCCACCCGGTGCCTCAGTTTCCCTATCTGTCAAATGGGGCACAATAATCCCTGCCCTTCCTTTTTCACATGGGGTGTTATTAACCAGTTGAGAGAATTGCTATGAAGGCATTTTGGAAAAGGAAGTAGAATAAGCTATACAAACCCACCTGCCATTATGGGCTATTTCTCCGTGCCAGGCTAGCAGAGCATTAGTCCCTGGAGAGGCAACGCAACCGCAGGAATACCTGTGGTGTCTAGAATGCTGGGGGGTGTTCAAGGTGCTCTCACACACACAGGCAACCCCCTTTCCTTTCACCCGGGGCCTGCTCCTCACCGACCCCCTGGCGCACGTGAGCAGGAGCATCACCCGCCAGGCACCTCGTCCTTGGTACAGCAGGGGCTGGATCTTGGGAAACCCAGGAGTAAGGAACAAAGACTCTGCAGAAGGACTTAGGAATCTTCTTTAGGATCGTGGGGAGGTGTAGATGCAGAGCTTAGTAAAATCGATCCTTTACAGGGTGGGAAAGACGTGGCCCTCAACCATTTGCCCAAATATCCGAAGCGCACATTCATGCAATCTCTCTGCAGTCCCCTCACCAGCGTGGGTGTGGAAAACCTCCCCCACTGCGTGTACCTGAGCTTCAGGTGGCCCTTTGTCCTGCTCTCCCCCGCTAGGCTGTCCGTTGATGCCACTTTTAATCTGCCTTCAGCAAGGCGAATGGCAGGAGGGGAGGGCGTAAGGCGGGACGGAGGCCAGCTCCCAAACGTGTGCAGGGCGTAACAGAAGGCCCCGTTCTTGCCTGAAGTGCCCCTGTGGGACCCTGAGCCCACACCCCGGCGTGGCATGGGGGAGGCAGGCCGGCAGCCAGGACAGCGGTCACTGGGCATGGCTGGGGTTTGCATTAGTGGCCGCCTGGCAGCTGCCTGCCGCCCTTGCCCATGTCCTGCTGGAGCCTGGCATGTGAGGCCAAGAGATTTTCTAATTTCCTGCCTCGCCCTCCATCCCCTTCCTCCCCAGACACCTGGATTTCATCAGCCTCCTGACCTATGATTTTCATGGAGTCTGGCGCCGGACCACGGGCCATCACAGCCCTCTGTTCCGAGGCCAGCAGGATGCCAGTCCTGACAGATTCAGCAATGCTGTGAGCACCGGAAGGAGGGAGGGCCGGGAGGGGGTCCGCAGAGACCTGTCACCTGTCAGAGTTCGCACACTACCCCTCCACTCCTTAGTCCAATCCTGCAAGGATGGGGCTATGGGCCCCATTTCACAGATGAGGAAACTGAGGCCTGAAGTCTGTGCATTCTCCATGGCCCTGGAAAGGTGGCCTGCAGGGGGGACTGAGTGAAGGCAGGGGCGGTGTGGGGAGGGGCTGGGGGCTGAGGAGGGGGAGTCTAGCCTCAGCCTGCTATTTGCTGGGTGTACAACCACCGCCGATTATCTGATTTCTGCAGCTGCCAAATAGTAATAATCCCTTCGTACGTCTAAGAGGATGTTTTTGAGAATGAAGCTATAAATTCATTTTACACTGACAGTGTCAGTTCCCAGAGGGATGGAGAGTCCCAGATGCACCCTGTACCTGTAACACCTGTCAAGGCAGCCGTGTTAACCTCATGGCCTCTCCCATCCGCGCACCAGCCCAGCTAACTGCGCATCCATCCCTGCCCCTCCCACCCAGGACTATGCTGTGGGGTACCTGTTGAGGCTGGGGGCTCCTGCCAGTAAGCTAGTAATGGGCATCCCCACCTTCGGGAAGAGCTTCACTCTGGCCTCTTCTGAGACGGGTGTCGGAGCCCCAATCTCGGGGCCGGGAATACCAGGCCAATACACCAAGGAGGCGGGGACCCTCGCCTACTATGAGGTAATGGAGTAGGGGGAGAAGGTAAGATTCCCCCAACACCACCAGCAGCCCTGGGGAAGGTGACCCCCACCCTATCCTTGATTTTTCTCCTTTGGGAATTAAAAAAATGTTCTGTTGACCTGGTATCCCTGAGGAAGAAGGGAGAGGTTAGGCGTTTTGCTGCTGAAAGTCTCCAGCAGGTGCAGGCACACGGGCCTGCACCACCAGGCTCCCAGGATGTCCCTCCAGCCTCGAAGCCACGCTCTTCCTTCCAGCCCAGGAAAGAGCGATGGCCAAGAGGCAGATTTTTTGTTTCGGCCTGGCCTCTGTGGCTCTGTGGCAGAGCCTGCAGGTGGGGCCTGTCCTCAGCCCCATCTTCCACGTCCCTGTTTAAATGGAGGAAGCCGATCAGAATCCCCTATGGAGTGCTCACCTAAGGCAACCAGGAATTCTGGGACTTTCTTGTCTATTTTACATAAATTTGCATGAAGCCTGTAGCCTGCAGACCCAGGAGAGCGAGGCTGCAGGATGAAGCGGGGGCTGAAAGAGGTCTGGGGAGTGACATCTCCTGGTGACCTGCCCAGTCTCAGCACAACAACTTCCCCCGCTAACCCTGCCCTATCCTCTGCTCAGATCTGTGACTTCCTCCACGGAGCCACGGTCCGTAGAATCCTCGGCCAGCAGGTCCCGTATGCCACCAAGGGCAACCAGTGGGTGGGATATGATGACCAGGAGAGCGTCAAAAGCAAGGTAGGTTTCCCCAAGGCCATGCCTGAGGGTAAAGAGGAAGAAGACGGTCCTGCTCTAAGCAGCCAGGGTCTGGCCCCTGCACTGAGGGCTGGGCTGGGCCACCCGTGTGTGGGTCTCGGGACCACAGAGCACATTTCCCCCCATACACGCCATTGCCCAGGGAACCCAGCCCTACCCTTCTGGGCCTTCTCTGCCAGGTGCGGTACCTGAAGGACAGGCAGCTGGCGGGCGCCATGGTGTGGGCCCTGGACCTGGATGACTTCCGCGGCTCCTTCTGCGGCCAGAATCTGCGCTTCCCTCTTACCAATGCCATCAAGGATGCGCTCGCTGCCACTTAGCCCTCTGTCCTGCACACAGTGGGGCCAGCTGGCCCAGAGCCTGGTCACCTGCCCTGCTGAGTCCCCGGCTGAGCTTCAGTCCCCCTCCCTTGGGACCTGTGCAGAGGACCACAGCCCTGAGATTGAGCTCGGCCCTAGTGGACAGGGAGTGGGGTGGGGCTGTGGGGACTGAGGGCCTGGGGACCAGCACAGTGTGAGACACAGGATCGGCACACGCCTGCTGATAGATGGAAATGCTCACAGACCCCAAGCCCAGCACAAGGGAATCTCTGCAACTCCCTTTCCCCCAGTTGTCCGTATCAAAGGACACCATTTTGGCAAGCTCTACAGCCAAGTAGCCAGACATCCTACAAGACACAGCGACCATACTAATTATACCCTCTGCAAAGCCCAACTTGAAACCTTTACTTAGGAACCTAATCGTGTCTCCTATCCCACTTCCCTCGCCCAATTCCACAGCTGCTCAATAAAGCACGAGAGCTTACCCGTGTGTTGGCACTTGCTTCAGTCTATCTTTGTGGGCCCACTGGACGTCCACCATTGGCCTCACCTCCCCCACCTCTTCTGGATTCCTTTCTCTGAAGTCGGGAGCCCTGGGCTTGCGGAGGCGAGGGCCCGTGGAGCCCCAATGGGAGGCCAGCATCCTCAGATTCAAGATACTAAAGTCACTGCCATCAGACCTCTAAATTAAGTTCCTGTTGAAAGAAACCCTTTCTGTTTCCTGAAGCCTGCAGGCACTGGGAAAGGAGCCCTTTAATCCCAACACTTCATCTCTTGTGCTCACAGGAAGGTGGCGGGAGCTGACCACACAGCCAGCTTAGAGAGCCCCAAACCCGGGCCCCTCAGGGCCAGAAGAAAAGGCAGATGTCCTCTCACACACCCTGCCTGCCTCCCAGGGCTGGAGTCTCTGCAGATCACTGCAGAGATGGCCCTACACCCTCCCCCATAGTCCCAGTGGGGGGCAGCTCTTTCCCTTGGAGGCAGCCCACTCTATTGCTGGGCTGAAATCTGTCTGCTGCCCCAGGTCCTATTTCTGAGCTTAGCCCTCCATCCTGCTCTCCCCTGCCCTTGTACTCACCCCTCAATCCAAGGAGAGATCAAAGCGCCTCTGCTCAAGCTGGCTGAGACACTAGATGGGGGAGGATGGGATGGATGGGCTCAAAACACTGGCTGGTGTTCCAACCTTGCCAAGGTGCAGGTGGAGACGCTCTCACCCGGCTACTGTGAATTTCCAGGGCCCTGGGCATGCATTTACTCAGAGAGAGTCCAGGTCCACACTCCAAAAGTAAAGAGAATTTATTTGTGGATTCCTTGGTGTTTGGATTACCTGTGACTTGGAATAATCACGTGTGGGCCTGATGGTTTGTGACTCTGGTTTGAGATGGAGGGAAGGAAATATCTGAAATTTAAACCAGCTGGAACTGGGCAGATGCAACTGCTCCCAAGGTCACAGCCCTGCTAAAGGCAAAGGAAAGCAAGAACTTGGCCTGAGCCTGGGGTGGAGGGGGCGGGGAGTGGGGTACCTGGCATTTCACTGCTGCCCAGTGGAGCGAAGTATTTCCCAGTCCTTGCCACTGCTTGTCCCGCCACACAAGGGTCTTTGAAACCCCAGAGCTGTGGGCCCTCCTGGTCAGCCACCTCCCTCCCCTGGAGCTACCCTTCCCCCGCCTGGGACAGCTCTCCAAGGCTGACTCAGGGTCCTGCAGGGTTAGTCACATTCACTTATAGCTTCAGAGTCACGGGCCAAGGATGGAGATCGGGTCTCCAGGACCCGCTCCCTACCCGGCAGGCCACTGAGTCACCTGGCTAAGGACAAGAGCACCCAGGCAGGGCCAGACCTGGAGGATCCCAGGCCCTCCACTGCCACTTCCCAGCAAGGGTAGCCAGGTTTGAGAGGCGGCCACACTCCTGTGTCTCCCATCCATCCCCAGGAAGGGAGACAGCGTGTATGCCGCAGAGGGCCTTGAATAAATTACGTTTGTTTATTTATAACACATTAACTGCCATGTGAGTTGTATTTAACTCACGCTAGTTTTGAGCCCGGAGCCTCATGAAGCATATGTAACTCACAGGTCTCTCTACCTTGGGAGCTGTGTGGTACGCAGGCAATTCACGATGTCATGCTGTAGCCCCTGGGCAAAATCCTGCAGTTCATTTGTGAAAATCTTACTTGTTGATGTTCTTATTGTCACAATTAATATTGACAATTTAATTGCAGATGACTCATTTACAGAAAACAATAAAAAATGACAAATTTTCCACTAAATTAGAAAGAATCGTTTTGTTTTCAAAGTTTTTATTCTATTTTTATAATAAAACACCATGGCCCCAAGGAAAAAGTATTTATTGTGGTGTGGCAGTCAATGTGTTAAATATTGAGACATATCACACTTGCTGTAGAG